AAAAGAGGTAGAAGAATTTCCACTTAGAACTATGACAGCACATGAGGGGGAGAAGAAGACACGTAAAATTATATATCAAAATGGATGTCCAGAGCAGATACTGGCAGATCTAGGTTCTGAATTGAATAATGAGGTAACAGTTTACATTTGGTGTTATTTTCATTGTATGGTCAATTACACAATCATGGCCGTGTGACAGGGGACTGTTAGCAGCTACAAACTGAGCCCTTTGGAAGCCAGCACCCTGGTCACTGAGAACACCCAGGGCACCGGGTGCAGTTAGAGGAGGAGGGACTGAGTAGTTTGGGTTTGGAAGGGCAGAGGGGATCACTTGCACCTGTAGGGAGCCTAGTGACATCACTAGCTCAGCACTGAGAAGAAAGCAGCAGTATGAAAGTCTGAATCAGGGAGCAGGAAGGGGGCTCCTTGTAACTGCTGTTATGTTGTGATGCATCATAAAAAGTAATAAAGACACTTGGTGGAGGTTCCCTGGCAGACTGCATGCTGCTTAATTCACACAGAGGTCTGCCAGCCGGGGTTTGCAGGAACTGATGGAGGAGCCCATTGATAGTTAGAAATTTAAAAATGAACATTGCCTGCAATCTCTTCATGACACTTCATGCTGTGAATTGTGAGTGACAACACATTTTTATATCTTGTCAGATAGTAAAAACCATGTTGTATATTAGACTCATAGACTTTAAGGTCAGAAGGGACCATTATGATCATCTAGTCTGATCTCCTGCACAACGCAGGCCACAGAATCTCACCCACCCACTCCTGTAACAAACCCCTCACCTATGCCTGAGTTATCGAAGTCCTCAAATTGTGGTTTAAAGACCTCAAGGTGCAGAGAATCCTCCAGCAAGTGACCCGTGCCCCACACTGCAGAGGAAGGCGAAAAACCTCCAGGGCCTCTGCCAATCAGCCCTGGAGGAAAATTCCTTCCCGACCCCAAATATGGCGATCACTTAAACACTGAGCATGTGGGCAAGACTCACCAGCCTATTTGCCAACATATTTTCCCATGTAATAACACAATAAGATTGGATAAGAAACCACAGTAACTACACATAATTCAGTGAGAAATAGGGAAAGAAACACAGATATTTCTGAAGGAAGTTTTAGGGGGAAATTATCTATTTTTAGATTAACATTTCCCTGTGTTAGAAACTAGGAAAAACACATAGCTTCAGCAGCCCATGCAACCTAGACACCGGCAGACTGGATAAAAACCACAAATGAATCCACCAAAAGATAATTTTAAGGTATTTATTTTCAAATAATCAAGGTAAGTTTAGGGCACACTGCCATGAATGGCATATTGTGAATACATTTTCAAAACTGAATTATTACATTAAAATGTTCATAACGCATCACGGTTAAAACAAAAAAATAGTCCTAGCAATGCCATGTCATATGTTTAGATGCTTGTTTCTGAAATACTGTTGAAATGTAAATTAAAATATTCTTGTATTTACACTTTGTTACAATAATATTTTCTAAATTAGAATAATCTTTTTTCTTTCATATTTTACATTGAGATTTCACAGCAGTAGAAAATTCTGACAGGAGTGAATGACCCCATCCAACCCATCTGCTACCCCTGGGGGACGGGGAAAGGTGAGGGCTGGGGGTTGTCAGGTGTACAGTTTCTGACTGGAACCTCCACTTGAAAAGGGAAACTGGCAGCGTCCGGTCAGCACAAAAACTCCAGTTGCTGCAGTAACTGGCTCCCACCACAGGGGGGGGAAGAGCAGCAGCACTGGGAGGGGCCAGTCTGTGCCGCGGGTGTCACTGTCAGGGACAGAGATTCCCTCCGGCCTCAACTGGGACTGGGCAGATTATCAGGGGAGCCACGTTTTTACCCGAGCGGCAGGGATGGAAATAAGGACGGAGCGTCCCGGAGAAGGTTTCAGTGAAAGTGAAGAGATGGGACCTGTCAGTCACATTGTAAAACGAGACCTCACCCACCTCATAGTCCAGGAAAATCCCCACCCGGTTGGGCCTGATGCTCACGGGGAGCGGGGTCCGGGGGTAGGTGCTGGCTGCGTATTCCCCACCCCTCAGCCACACGACCCAGTATCCATTCCTAGGTGTGTATGTGACCGGCCCCTTCCTGCTCACAGATTCCCTACAAACCCCCAGGTCCCATCTCATCTTGTGTCCCACCTCCACCTCCCAGTAATGCCTCCCACCTGTGAACCCCTGAGCACCCAGGACACAGTAACAATGATCAAATCTCTCTGGATTGTCGGGCAGATCCTGGCATGTGTCTCCGCGTCTTACACGTTTCTGATCCTCAGACAGGACGAGTTTGGGATTTGCCGTGTCTGGATCCAGAGTCACATCCACTGGGGAGAGAGTCACAGAGTCAGTGCTGGGGGCAGGGGCTGGTCACTGGGATCGAAGGGAAATTAACCTGTGTCCCCGTTAATCGCTGCGGGGGGGGGGGGGTTGCCTGAGGGGAGTCAGGGCCTGTCTGTCTGTGAGGAGACAATGAGGGGGAAATGTAGGAATGTGTTGCTCCCGAATCGTCTGCCCACGAGAACGGCAAACTGTTCCCTTAGCAACGAGGCAGGAGTGACCTTGTCCCAGCGTCTGTGTTTGGGAAAACTTTTTGGCTTGCCTGTTTTTCTCCCTTGCAGCTGGCTTTCACGTGCACAAGATATGGGGCTGTTATTTTATGTAATTGACTACTGCATGTCTTCTTCATGCGCAAGATTTGTACCAATGAGAAGTGTTGTAAACAAAGCAAGTAATATAATAAAAACCCCAGGAAAGGTTTTTTCCTGGGAGGCTTTTGGCTGGAGGCTTTTGAAGCTGAGAGAGGCTTTTTCGGCTACCACAGACCTGGTGTTCTGTTTCCTTTCTTCTGTCGTCGCCACAGGGAAAGGGCCAAAGGAGCGGGGGAGGGTGGGAAGGTGTCAGTGGGAGTTGGGATGGGACAGGCTGATGCTGGGAGAGGAAAGGGGAGGGGCAGATGACAGGAGTAGAGGTTGGAGGGGCAGAGGGGAGGGGCAGGCACAAGGGCAATGGGGGAGGGGGAGCCAGAGGAGCAGACACCAGGAGGACAGAGGGGGATGAAGGCAGGGGCAGGTTCCAGGGAGACAAAGTGGGGGGGGGGGGAGAGGGGGAGGGGGCCGGGGAAGGGGGGGGAGGGGGGTGGGGGGGTGCTGGGGGGAACAGGGGTGATTGCTAATGAGGCTGGAGCAGTGGGGAGGGGGCATTTCCCCACTTGCTGCCCCCTCCATCTGGGCAAAGCTGCACCAGGGGCCAGTCCCAGTTCATACCTGCGCAGCGCATCTGCACTAGGGGTTTGCAGTGAGGCACCGACATGCCAGAGACACTGCTGTGCCAGGGGCCATAACCCCTCCCCTCACTGGGATTATGGATCAATAATTACAGGGTCACTGGAGCAGGGGAGCTGGACTCTGGGCTCCCAGGTGGGGGCCCGACCCACTGGGCTGCAGAGTCATTCTCACTCCCACGCTCTGGCCCAGTGCCCATGGCAGTGTTTAGACACAGGGGGCCGACTTCAGCAGGAGAGATTGAGGGAGCCCCACATCAGATACCCAGAGCCCAGCTGTTCCAGCCCTAACCGGGGGCGGGGGGGAGGGGAAACCCACATTCCAATTCTTTCCCATATCACCCGGGGGGATTGAACCTGGGGCTCCCAGCTGAGGACCCAGCCACTGGGCTAAAGGCTAGAAGGGAAGCGGCAGCACCTTTTTCTGTTCATTGAAACTATTCCGCAAACTCGACATGGACTCAGGAATAGTTTCTGTTGACCCAAAATATAATTTTATCAGCAAATAAACTATTTACCCCCAAAATTACACCCAGCTCTATTTCAAACGTGTCCCAGCAACGTAGGAGCCCAAATCCCAGTGACTTGCAGTGAGTGACTGTCAACATCCCCAGAAAAGCACAGGTACGGGCAGGCCAGGCTCAGGACATCAGCTATGAAACACTCCAGAGCTGCTGTTAAATTTGCCCTTGGTAGAAAAATTCCCCCTCGGGCTCCCATAGCTCTTTTACTGAAGGCTGCGGGGAAAAAGATATGGTCAATAGTAATTAGTGACACTAACCCGGAGCTAGTCTGAATGAAAGAGAACTTGGAAGAGACTAGCTGCAGATTTATGTGAATTCAGATGACATCTTTACCTGGTAGCCGTGGACTATTTTTCCAGGTATACAGAAAAAGTGTACTTGAAAGATGTAACACAGCAGAGTGTTATAGAGCAACTGAGGTGCACTTTTGGTCATTTCAGGATTCCAGAAGAACTTATTACAGAGCATGGACCACAAGTCACTGAAGTAGAATTTAATTTATCCAAACAAAATACGATCTTCCTCATATTACTAGCAGCCCATATTATAGATCAACACCAAGAGCAGCTACTGGATATAGTGCAGCACAACTCCTGATGGGAGGACAACTCAGAACTACCCTCCAAACTTTGGAAAAGAATCTCCAAAGTTGCCAGACACATAGAAAGTAGTCAAATCCAATAAAAAGGCAAAAAGAGCTTACGAACACGTTTACAACAGACATCACTCAGAAAACTACCAGGCCTAGAACCTGGTGACCATGTGTGTGTCAAACTGGATGGAGAAAAAGAATGGAATACTCCAGCTGTTATAAAGAAAAAGAATTCAATGCCCAGGTTGTATGGGATCAAGACCAAGAGAGGAGAGTTCAACAGAAACTGTCAACATTTACAGTTTATACCTCAGAAAGAACAATCAACTGAGCAAACTCTACAGATGGTGGATGCAGAACAAGAAGATGACTCAAGGATTCCAGACCGACCATAGTCAGTCGGTGGAACTAATGGACAACCAGATGAACAAGCTGTTACCTGTTCGGGTCATGTAATTAGAAGATCAGTACCATTCAGAGACACCTAACAGACTGATCCACACTGAACCTCAAAGACAGTGTGATAATGTAAATATTATAAATGGAAGGAATGTAGAACTTAAAGGGGGAGATGTAATGGAACGCTAAACTGTATTATGCTGTTCAACCACTAGGTACAGCCATGTGTAAAATACCATATTTAAGCTGACCTCAGCCATACTTGGCAGAACATTAAAGGATTTTGTGATGAACACATCTGGTGTTTATTTGGCTGAATGGGAAGCTCTGTAGCCAGCCCACATCTCCCACACGACCATCACACCAATGATGAAAGCCCAGTGCTATTGACTACCTCTACTACGGCCAAAGAGTTGTTCTAAACTATGACATGCTGAAGACTATTGGGGATTTTACTCATGACATGAGCTACATAGAAAATTGGGGAATCAAACTCCTGGACTCTTCATACTTCAGTGACGAGAACAAAATTATGGCCAGTGGCCTTGCAGATTTCCTTGCGGCAGCAGGGCAGGAAGTACCCCCCACCTCACCCCGGCTGCAGAACATAACCAAGTGTCAGCCATGATCAAGCCGACCTTTGAATACACGTTGGCTCTGGAGGTGGGAGGAAATGTATCAAGAGGGCTGGCCCTTTTAGGGGAGTCAGGGACCAGACTACCTGTGACAGCCTCCTGTAAGGGAGAATGAGACAACCCAGACCAACCTGGAAGTAATTAAATCCCTTGGTGGCTAGTTGGCAGCGAAACAGCTAATGAGCCTGATAAAGGATTACCAGGCTCAGCTGAAGGGATCCTAGGGACAGGAAGCTGCTGAGGAGAGGAGCTCCCAGGAGAGCTCACCAGAGCAAGGAGCCTAGAAGGGGTGCTCCTAGAGTAGTGGTCCCCAAACTATGGGTCGTGTCCCCCTAGAGGGGGTGAAGGTACATTTGGGGGCATGGCAGGGCCTTAACTAGCCCTCATGGGTGGCAGGAAGGGAAGGCCACCCAGCCCTGCTCTGCCTCCAGCTCCACTCTGGCCCCATCCTAAGCCCCAGCTGCAGCACCGGCCCAGGCTTCCACCACCGACTTCCGGCCCTGCTCCAGAATGCGACCCCAGCTGCAGCTCTAGCTGCAACCAAGGTTCCGCCCCTGGCCGAAGCCCCCAGCTGCAGCTCGGGCAGCACCAGTGGCTTCACTTCTGGCTGAAGTCCACTCCCAGCCACGGCCCCCAGCTCCTGGCCCCAGTTGCAGCCCCATTCCTGGTTAAGCTCCCGACCGCAGCTCCCGGGATGGGGCCACAAACCAGGTAAGGGAGGGCATGACCAAAAAAGTTTCTGGACCACTTCCCTAGACAGAGGAACTCCCCTAGGGGCAGGAGCTGCCAGAGATGACAAAGACAGCAGCAGCTGTAGCAGGACAAAACCCTGGAGAGCTGCCCCCAGCTGGAGAAAGTGTATGCAGAGAATAAAGGCACAGTCTTTGTGGCTGGCCCCACAATGGGACCCTTGTGTCCCCTCCCCCAGTGTTTGCTGCTGCCCTTGCTGGGCCTTGTCTGCACTCAGACCAGGAGCCCTGTGGGGCCAGCAGCCCCTTGTTCTGTCTCTGCAGTGCCGGGCTCACCCATGGGCGCTATATCAATAATAACACTCACTGTCCAGCCCCTAAGGTCTGCGTGACAGCGCAGGGTCTTCCCCATTGCACACGGGGACCCTGGGGCGCAGGTTACTCTGCCCCACACATTCACCCAGTGACTCCCCCGAGCTGCCAGACCCGGGTCCCTGGGGTCAGAGCGCAGGCAGTCGAGTGGCACTGACCGGCCGGGGCTGCTGGGGTGGGTGAAAGGAAAGGGTTAATCCCAGCACTGTGGCACTTTGCTGTCCAGCCCTGGCTGGTCTCTGCCCTCTGGGTGCAGCACAGGGCGTGTGTCTCTGGGTAGGTCCCTGCCCACCCACCCGGCCATTTGCCCCAGACACTGAGAATCCAAGTGCCAAGGGAAGGAGTAGCCCCAGCAGCACAGCATTGGCCCTGGCACGTGCTGAGCCTGCGAGCGCAGCAGCAGAGGCAGCGGCAGAGGGAGGGGCTCAGCCATTGAGAGCAGCAGAGTCCCCACCCGCAGAGGAAGGGTCAGCGCTGGGACAACAGGCCAGGCTGGGTCAGGGGCTGCAAGTGCAGTGACAGCACCAACAGCCGGGCCTGGCCAGCCTGGAGCAGCCAGTGAGTGGCTCAGGGCCTTGCCCTGCCATTCTGTTCTGATCGCTGCCCCCTAACTCTGGCTCATCATATAAAAAAATATGGCTACCATTTTAGGTTGTTTTGCAAAAAATGGTGTAAGTATGTGAATGTACAGATGGACATTCTGTAGTATCTCTATCTACCTTCCTGAGTTGGGATGTTTGTGACTTTGCTAAATGTATTAATAAATTATTTGTAAATATAAAAGAGTTCATACAGTGTGAGTGTTGCAGCTGTGCACTCGGGGTTCACAACTATATAATAATTTAAATAATACTGGGCCTGATCTTGGGACAAAAGCCTCTTAACCCTCAAAGTGATAACTAAAAATTCTTAAAAAGCAACAGAGGGTCCTGTGGCACCTTTAAGACTAACAGATGTATTGGAGCATTATCTTTCGTGGGTGAATACGCATGCGTCTGACGAAGTGGGTATTCACCCACGAAAGCTTATGCTCCAATACATCTGTTAGTCTTAAAGGTGCCACAGGACCCTCTGTTGCTTTTTACAGATCCAGACTAACACGGCTACCCCTCTGATACTTAAACATTCTTAAGTAATCAACATAGAATCTATAGATTGGACTACACACACCTGTGATGTTGCACTCCATATGCTTTATTGAAATATGCTTATGCATATGCCGTAACTGACATATGCTTTACGATAAATACCCCTTGTATGGTGTCATTAGAAAGCTTGCAATCTACTAAGTGTGTTCATCTTATCTGTTTGCATGTATAATTTCTATATCTGGAGTTAGGGGAGTAAGATATAAACTTGTATCACTGATGTAAACATATTAAGTGGAGGCCATTAAGGGTGCTCCAGAAACAATCAGTTGTAAATGGCCTTAGTTACTTGAAAGCCTCCCTGTGTACTTGTGGGCCAGCCCATGGGGAATGGAGACTAGGGGTTTTACAGTGACATGTGATCATGTCACCTGATAAGGAAATCCATCTTAAATCTGGTACTTTTCCATTTAGAAGGAGGGGTGAGGACCCAGAGAGACAAAAGATTCCCGTGTTGTGCCAAAGCGATAAAAGGGGGTGGAGCAGGGCAAAAGAGGCTGCCAGTCATGAGAAAACCCCTGCTTACCACCTGAGATGTCTGCTGGATCTAACAAAAACTGTACCAGGGGAAAGGTTTGGGCCCAGACTAGGAAGGAGTCTAGTCTGTGAAAAAAGCTTATTGGAACAACTTTGAGGGTGAGATATTACCTGTAATCAATTTCTTAATGTATTAGGCTTAGACTTGCGTGTTTTGTTTTATTTTGCTTTGTGACTTACTTTGTTCTGTCTGTTATTACTTGAAACCACTTAAATCCTACTTTTTATACTTAATAAAATCACTTTTGTTTACTAATAAACCCAGAGTAAGTGATTAATGTCTGGGGGAGCAAACAGCTGTGCATATCTCTCTATCAGTGATATAGAGGATGAACAATTTATGAATTTACCCTGTATAAGCTTTATACAGAGTAAAATGGATTTATTTGGGGTTGGGATCCCATTAGGAGCTGGGTATCTGGGTGCTGGAGACAGATGCTGAGCTGTTTTTAATTAAAGTTTGCAGCTTTGGGGGCGTGGCCCAGACCCTGGGTCTGTGTTGCAGCAGGCTAGCGTGTCTGGCTCAACAAGGCAGGGTTCTGGAGTCCCAAGCTGGCAGGGAAAATGGGCTCAGAGGTAATTTCAACACATCAGGTGACATTCCCAAGGGGATCTCTTTGACCAAACTCGTCACAGCCCCCTCACACCCACTGACATCCCCTTCACTGACGCCAGTCCTTGTCCCCAACCCCAGGATCTGCCCTGCCCACCCCTCATCTGACACCTCCTGCTGCTCCCCTACTACCAGCCCCACTCACCTTCTTTCTCCCTTTGTTCCAGACGTAGTGGGAGCTGGTGGGAGAAGGGAACAAACTCCCTGCTGCTAAGCATCATCCAACCACCTCCTCCTCCTTCCTTCCTCAGAACCCCCTGCTCTCACCTGGCTTCCCAGCACCAACTGCCCCCCCCCATCCCACTCCTGTGCTGGTTTAATTCACACTGACTCACCCGGTCACTGGACACTAGCACAGTGCATACATGCAAGGTCCATGTCCTATGGTGGCACATGAGACCCAAGCTCTGTGGCAGTCCCCTGGCGTTACGGGGCTCTGCTCCCCAAGCCCTCCCCTGTCACTGCCCCTCCATCCAGTCCAGTGTCCTGTCTGTTATCGGAGTAGTGAACGGATGCTCTTGTGGGTAAAGAGCTGACCTAGGAACCAGCAGATCTAGGCACAGCTTTGCCACAGCAGAGGGTAGTCAAGGCTTGTGGTCCTCGGGAGGGGACCTGAGGGGATGCTTCTCCTCTTTCCCTTGGGAATAACTTTAAGGGCTTGTCTACATGGGGAAAAGCCCCTGAGTAGCTAGTGCAGAACAGCTGTTATTCCATGCTAAGAAAGCCCTTGTCTCATTTGTGTTAATCCACATTGGAAGAATACAAGTGCAAGTGTGGGGAGAGGAGGTTTAAATTCCTTGTTCCTCCCCCCAGTGACCCTTCTAGAGCCACCAGCTGCCCCTCTGCCCTCCATCCACTCTGCCATTGCATCCAGCAGGGTTGGATAAGCTCATCAACTGGATGTTGCTGCCAAAAATGGTCAGCAGTGAAATAAACAATTCATTGACTGGAGGCTATATCATAGCAATAGAGAGCAGTAAAACAATTGTCTGTTTGCACCAACTCCCCACGACAGCAGGTATCCTAGCCGGGGTGTGAATAACCAAACCCTCAGACTTTCACACGGACAATGACATTTTGTCCTACCCCTTAGTTATTGTGAGAGCTGTAAGAGGACTGAGCAGGGACCAAATATCCCAGAGGAATGGGACTGAGAGTGACTGAAGCAGTATCAGCGCTAGTTACCTGCATATCGTCGGGCTCTGGTGAGTCCTGAAATAATCAGAAATTAGAATTTACAGAATGGAAATACAGACTCGACAAGTCACATACTGTGAAAAACAAACTCCACAAACCAGAAACGGAGCTTACCCAGTTCTGCCAGAGGGTCCATGGGAATGAGAGGGGAGAAAAGAGAAAAAAGAACATAAATGAATCAATAGGAGAGATTCTCAATTACATAAATGCCCAGTTCTAAACCCAAATTACATTGGCTTCAGAGGGAATTTTGCCCGAGTAAGGACACCAGGATTAGGCTCCGAATCAGTAGTTAGGGCTTCTGCTTTATCATACCTTATCCTGCAAACCCTCCCCCCAGAAATCAATGGGGCCACACCTGTGAGGATCACTCATGTGAGTCAGGGTGGCAGAATGGGTCCCATAGTGATAAAGGGTCCAGTTCTCTCCCCTGCTCTGGTCACTGTGTGCAGGGATGGCACAGACTGGAAGGAACCAGGCCCTGGACATCAGAGAATTCCCCTGGCATAGGAAGAGCTCAGCTGGGGTAAAGTAGCGGAGCTGGGTCCTGTGCCAACTACCCCCCCCCAATCCTGCTGTAGGAGGCTTGTCAGGGTGGGAGGGGTTGGGAGGAGGTGTGCTGGGGCAGAGCAGAGCACAATCACCAATCTCAGCGACCACAGCCAGCTGCAGAAAATTAGAGCAGCCCCTGGGGCAGCCTGAGAATCAGGGAGCCATAACCAGAGTCTCCCACATCCCAGCTGGGAACCGTAACCCCTGGGCTAAAGGTGATAAGGGAGGGTTGCCGCCACCCTGTCTCCCACCTCTGTTTGTGTAGTGTTGGTGGCATCTGAGCACATCTATTGGATCAGCCCCCATGGGTGAGATAGAGGCTCCTCCACACATCTTCCCCTAGTTTGTGTGTCGCTCTGGGGCACAGGAGGGAGATAGGTCCCCAGACATCTAAGTGAGGCAGCAGTGTGCTCCATGTGCCACGAGGCACAAACTTAGATTCTGAGAGAACTTTTACAGCAGAGATTTATGTACTAAGTCAGTTTAGGTGCCTACAGGGTTAGGTGTTAGCCAAGTGGGGGCTGTGGATGATGGTGGCTAAAACTGGGATTGATACACCCATGTCTGGGGTTTAGGTGCCTAAATCTCCTTGTAGATCTGGGTCATAATGCACAAAGCAATTCCTCTTAATATAGAGTTAAGATTGAGAGGACGTATACTTGTAACTTAAGGGTAAAACACATTACAGGGATCTTGTAATTAACCCTAAAGTGTTATACACCCAGGAAATACAGAACTAAGGTCACATTTAAAAGAAATCCAACCATGCTGTGGTGTAAAAATGCAGCTAAGGCACCCAAACAACCGTAACTCTGCCCTGTAGTAACAACACGAGGAGAAAATTGAAAAACATTGTGTGCCTTTAAAAATCCGTTTTATTTAATGTAGAACCTCACAGACTGCTCTGCACTGATCAGACCTGTATGGTTATTGTATGGAGTCTCTGCAGGGTGGAGCTGAGGGTGAAATCCTGCCTCCTCCCACATTACAAGGGTATGGAAGAGCCAGAACACAGGGGAATCCCATCTGAGTATCCTGTTAAATACTGGACAAGTCTCTCTGGGTTCGTCTACACTGCAAAAAACCCTCAGCAGTGGGTCTCAGAGTCTGGGTCAACTGTCTCAGGCTTATGAGGCTCACACCATGGGGCTGAAAAAGAGCAGTATAGACATTCCCACTCAGGCTGGCACCTGGGCTCTGAAACCCGGCGAGGGGGGAGGGTCTCAGAGCCTGGGCTCCAGCCTGAGCAGGAATGTCCACATTGCTAATATTTATCCCTGCAGCACGAGCCCCAGTCAGTTGACTCAGGCTCTGAGACTCGCAGCCACGGGTGGGGTTTTGCACAGTAGATGTGCCCACAGTCTCCATCAATGAGGCTGACCAAGCTGGGCTGGTGTATTCATGACCCTGGACTCAAGGTGCCATTTCTGTAATTCCCATGGGGTTTATTAGGACAAGTGATCCCTTCCCCTTCAGAGCCCATCTGTGTCAGCACCAGCAGCCCCTGAGCTCACTGCTTGGGCTCTGGTGCCGATATGGAGATGTTCTCCATCACTCATTCAAACAGGCTGTAACTCCATCTGCTAAAATTGAGCTAAAAGTGTTAAACTGAGACTCCACTGCATTAAAAGTGGCTTTCAATTGAGTTAAGTTGGCTCAAGTGAGCTAATTCAACTGACATAATGTAAAATCTTCAACCCATCCCATTGGTCCCAGACACTGACCTTTCTGTCTCTTCATCTCAGATTGCAGAGCCTCTAGAGGGAGAAAAGGGAGAGACATGAGATTCCCCCTGTCGTATTTATAATGGTAACCCCACAGCTCATGTAACTGTTCCAGACACTGACCTTTCTGTCTCTCCATCTCAGATCGCAGGATCTCTAGAGGGAGAAAAGGGAGAGGTGAGATTTCACCCAGTCATGTTTGTGGGGATAATGTTAATATCAGTTAATGTAACTGGCCCAGACAGCAGGGTCTCTAGAGAGAGAACAGGGTGAGAGGTCATCCATTCATAGATTCCAAGGCCAGCAGGGACCCTTGTGATCACCTAGTCTGATCCCTGTATAACACAAGCCCGTGGGCTTCCCCACAACAATTCCTAGAGAGGATCTTTTAGAAAAAAACATCCAATCTTCATTTAAAAGCTGCCAGTGCTGGAGAATCCACCACGACCCTTAGGAAATTGTTCCAACAGTTAATTGATAATGGCAAGATTTCACCCTGTCGTATTCATTGGATAACTCTACTGTCAGTTAATGTAATGGGCCCAGACATTGACCTCTCCTGCTCTCCATAGCAGGTCGTAGGGTATCTCGGGAGAGAAAAGGGCGAGAGGTGAGATTTCACCATCTTGTGTTTATGGCGTGGTTCCCACTATTCATGTAATTTTTCCATAATTATGAAAGCGAGGCAGACAGACTGACAAACAGGACACACAGACAGATCTGTCTCATCATCCCTTCACTCAGCGTCCCTGCTGCCTGGGCCCCACTGACCATCACCTCTAGGGGCTGCTCTGAATGTCTCCCCCAGGAGGCAGCCCTGCTGCCTGGGCCCTTCACACTCCAGTCTGATCTGGCTGCTCCCCTCTGTGCCCATCCCCTGAACAGCCCCAGCTCGCCCCAGCTCCTGACTGTGGGGATGAGGGAGGGAAGTGAGTGACGGGAATGGGGCACTGACCTAGGCTGGATAAGGGACGGCGTTTGGTTGGCTCAATCCTAGGCCAATTCCTGACCTTGTAGGTGGTACTTGCTCCTGGTCCTAATGATAAGTGGTAACAGCTCCTCCTAGAGTCTCGGTAGATGGGGGAGGGAGGGAGAATGGGGTGAAGGTGCCTTTCTTTTGCTGGATGCTCAGGTCAGCAGGATCTCAGGCTGAACAAATCTTAGTGTAGATAAGATAACTGCTAACCTGTCCATTTTCACAGCCACTGCTTTGCCCTTCTGCAGCTCCTACTCAGCTAGATGGGTGGGGTGCAAGCACCGACTGGGGGGCAGAATTGGCCCTAAGAAACCCCCCTCTCTCCTCCTTTGCTTTCTGTTTTTCCTGCAAGCAGCCAAGTTACATATGTCGATGCTCCAAGCCCAGCTCACTGAGCCCCACATGGTGTTTCAATCTGAGCCATGCTGATCCCCATGGAACAGTTCAGAATCACATTCGACTGGGATCCTTGAGTGAGATCTGAAGGGGTGAAACCACTTGACACTTCTCGGTTCAGACAAAGTCCTAATTTATTCAGCTCCCTCTTCACCCTCAGCCCGGCTCCCATTGCCTGACACCTCCTCCAAAGAGAGGTTTCAGAGTAGCAGCCGTGTTAGTCTGTATCCGCAAAAAGAACAGGAGTACTTGTGGCACCTTAGAGACTAACAAATTTATTAGAGCATAAGCTTTCGTGGGCTACAACCCACTTCTTCGGATGCATATATGCATATATG